CCAGTGGCCATGGGCAGCTTGTCGCCCATCCCTCTGCGGTGCTGTGCCGGGACCCCCAGGTTTGTACCCACCACCTCTTCCTTCTGCACCAGCAAACTGCCTTATCCACCTGCCTTATCCTGGTTTCCTCTCCCTCTGGCACAGTGGTTTTCCCCTGAAAAGGTCCTTTACTCACAGGCACATCACTGCATGGAGTTGCTTTTCTCTGCGTTTCACAGGAGCATGCGGTGGGGAGCACCCAGTGCCAGGGAGCTCCTCGCAGCCCCTCACTGCAGTGTCTGAGCCTGGCATGCAGGCAGCATGTTGTCCCTCTCCTCTGCCTTCAGCATGGGTGTCATGTAGCCACGTGCCACAGAACCGGGCTAAAACTTGGGAGGGATATTGAGGAGAGCTGTGCTGGGTGGCGCAGGGAGGGGACATGGCTTCCTTTAGCTCTAATGGCCGTCCTTCCCCCCTCGCAGTGAAGTCCTGGGTGCAGAGACCTCATATCTGCCCAGCCGGGGAGGAATGAGCCATGAATATGGGGAAGAGCATCCCGTGCCGATGCCCCGGCTTACAGGGACTCTGCAAGGCTCCGGGGCCAAGGTGGGTACTGGGTGGGCACGTGGTCCCGGCACGCTCTGCACCACGGCATGGGGCATCTGCGCAGCCGTGGCACCGCTGTCCCGGCTTGAACCTGCCATTAGGGTAACTTTTGCAAGATTTTTCTTGTGACGGCATTCACCATTTGTGTGCACTTCTGCAGCAAAGCAGCAAGGAAGACGACGACATCCACTACGCTGATCTCCAGCCCCTGCCCGTGGCGCCGCGGCACAGCAGGAGCCCCGGCGCAGCCTGCTCCGAGTACGCCAGCATCAGGGTAGCTGCCAAGTGACGTGTGGCACTGCAGCCTGCAAGGCTGAAGAACCTGTTTCGGGGGAGGAAGCAGGGACATTTCTGCAGGGCACAATAAAGAAGAAGTGGGTCTGTTTGCATGGTGCACCCCGGTCTGAGCTTGGCACACTCGGCAAAGCTCCCCTCATTCGTTCCTGGCTGAGTGGCTGTGGCAGGGAGGGTTAGGG